GATGTAATATCCAAGTGAGGGAGGCTTGGGGCCAGAGATCAGGGTCGGCCAGCATCTCTGGAGACGCTGAAGGTTAGCACCTCACTCAAGACCTGAACAGAGATACCACTACTGAGAGTCAGGGGATTCAAACCTCTGACCTTCCAGAAACAGACACAGGTCCCTTATGTGCTGAGTGACGCATTCGGTAAAATTAAGTCAAGACAATTAATTCTGGACAAAAAGGCGGTGATCAGAGATCTAATTTAATTGAGGATACTGAGGTGTGACAATGTCCATGTTTGTAGAACGAAGCGTTATTTGCCAAATTTTCAAGTACAGGTACACTGGAATGTGTTTTCTTGTTTTTTAAAGACATACACAAATACAGAGGTGAGAGTGAAGCTTGGCATCTTGCTCAAGAGCCCAACAGAAATGTAGTTACTTTGCCAAGCATAGAGGCTGAACCGGCAAACTGCTAGTCACAGGCACAAAGGCCTAAGCCACTGAGCCACACCATAAGCCACACCCCCTCCATTACATTGTGCAGAGGCAGTGCATAGAGTAAGAGGAGCAATGGCCCAGAGGCCTGTGGGATTCAACAGGGAATCTCATCTCCTTCTGAGTCATGCTCTCCTCGGGCCTCGTTAGGTCTGATGGCGCCATTCTGAAGGCGATTAATAAGAACAATGATCTACAGTGTGGAAAAAAAAATCACTGCCCGCATTGAGGTAATTGACAGCGCTTCCCCTGCTGTGATCTGCTTGGAAAACCTGTCTGAACTTCCCCAAGAACATTAGCTGTGATCATAATTACTTTGCTTAAAAATGTCAACATTGTGTTGCTTAAAAAAGTTTAGATAATTTATTTAGAAGAGAGTTTAGAAAATATACTGTTGCTTTGTTTTTTAAGTAAAGTCGACACCATAAGCAGTTTCAGTGCAATGGGAAATGTACTGGACTTAACGGAGCAGTTGTGAATGACATATGTCAGGGATAGGATCCAGTGTTGTGGGGGGCAGTGTGCCTGTGATCAGAAGGTCGTTGGTTCAGATCCACAGGTCAGCAGTTGCTCCAGGCACTGTGTGACCCCACTTTTTCTAAATGTTCATCACTTTGGATAAAAACATCTGGCAGATCAATCAAATTTGAAGCATTATAGTTGTGCTACAATTAACTACCCACATTAACAGAAAGAAGCAACTCATGACTTTATTTAATCATCTTTTAAAATGCGTTTTCAAGTTTAGCTGGCTGAAGATGGACTCGTGAAATGGTTCTGAAAAATATTTTTGGATTGTCTTTATGTTCACTTAATACGTGTGTAAAGTGATATCGTCTTGCCGTCCTCAGTGCACCCGGATAGCAGACTTTGGAAATCCATTAGAATATCATGTCCAAGATTGTCCTGCTTTGCAGCAGCTGCTTCTGAGCTCTCTGTATATCCGTCATGCCTTTTTCAGTTTGACATGGTGTAAGCATCCACTCATTAGGTCTCAGGAACAGGACATATCTGGCCCAGAGGTATAATTAGCAGAGCTACTAAACATTTTTGCTGTTCCTGTTGTCAAACGGCACACGGTAACAGTGTGATTATGGCCTCCAAAACTACAGCTGTACCTTTATTTGCATGCTGGCTAAAGACACAACTGTCAGAGTAGCACAGCAGGTCATCGTAAGCTGATAAAACATCTGACATGGGGGATGTATCTGCTTCTCAGCAGGCAAAGGGAGACTGGAGAGGCAAGGTGAGCTTCCCAACTCTGAATCACACCCTGAACCTAACTACTTAAGCACATGTTAGGCTTTTATTACAGTCATCATTCCAGGACATGACCAAGTCGTGTTGGCATATGCCAGGCCGAGAGGAATGAGTAAGGTGGGGCCAGGTGGGACTATGTTTAGTTCAGTAGGAATATAATATGGAGCCTGGTAACAACATGCATTACTGCCTATCACCAGCAGGGGGATGAAGATAAACAAGGATGGTAGAGCCAGCATACTGATACACTATGGTGGTACAGTGGGTAGGCTGCNACAACTGTCAGAGTAGCACAGCAGGTCATCGTAAGCTGATAAAACATCTGACATGGGGGATGTATCTGCTTCTCAGCAGGCAAAGGGAGACTGGAGAGGCAAGGTGAGCTTCCCAACTCTGAATCACACCCTGAACCTAACTACTTAAGCACATGTTAGGCTTTTATTACAGTCATCATTCCAGGACATGACCAAGTCGTGTTGGCATATGCCAGGCCGAGAGGAATGAGTAAGGTGGGGCCAGGTGGGACTATGTTTAGTTCAGTAGGAATATAATATGGAGCCTGGTAACAACATGCATTACTGCCTATCACCAGCAGGGGGATGAAGATAAACAAGGATGGTAGAGCCAGCATACTGATACACTATGGTGGTACAGTGGGTAGGCTGCATGTTCTCTTTTTGTTGTGTGGCTCCCCTCTGGGGACTCTTGATTCCTCCTGCAGTATAAAGACTGTTTAGGGAAGCTCTAAATGACCCATTGTGTGATGAAGTGAAAGGAATTGAGTTTTAACCTATGTTCGTTTGTTAGTTCAGCCAATATATAAAACATGCAGCAAGCTGCAACAGGAGACTGTAACCATGGAAATAATCCTCAAAACTCTAACATTTTCAGATATACATTTGAACGCTGATTCTATGTCTCTCTGTCTGTCTTCCAAACCGTTTTCCAACCAAAACGTTTTCTTTCAAAAAGCAGGTTTTACTTGAAGTAATTTTGGGACCTACCATGTTCCAGATTAAATGTGAGACAAATGGAGCTTGTGAAGGAGGGTGTGCCCCGTGCCCCCGCCCTTCCGAAATGCCCCCTGTGGCACCGGCATCCATGCCCTCACATACACTAGCATTTAAACAACCTCTTTTATTCTTTGTCTGTCCTTCCTGTTTTCGTTTTTTTTTCTTGTAACAATGGTAGTTGAGTGTTTGACTCCTTAGAGCCCCTGTAGGTGAATCCCTGCTTTACTCCCCAGGACAGGATAGGTAAGAGAGCATCTGGGACGCCACTAGGCAGGAGGAGTCAGTCATTGTGTGCTGGTTTGTCCAACTGGGTGGAGTCGTGTCTGTAGTGAACGGGAAGGGGCAGCTAGCCTCAGAGCTTTGTAAACAATGAATGATTAATTTGGGTTCCTTACTTGGCAAAATCGCTCGTTATTTTACCAAACCTGTTTTACACTTGTTTGAACAAAACTAATTACTTTCAGGTGTATGTTTAGGGACTGTGTGCACCTGTTTGCTGGGCAGTACGCATTGGTGTGTGTGTGTGCGTATGAGTGTGTGTGTGTATAAGCTTTGGAACATCTAAGGATCACACCCCCATGAGAGCCCGGCTCTATGGGCTGGTCCTCAGCGGAGTACGACTGTATAAGACTCTCCCCCTGCCTGGATTTGCCAGACGACACAGCCACTCACATCATCCCCCAGCAGAAACCAACAGGACCACGAGACATTCAGACATGAACTTAGTCAGGGGTGCCGCCCGGGAGGCCAAGGTGGACAAGCTCACCGATGGATTCTCCAAGGTCAAGGAAGGCGTCGTGGATGCTGCAGAGAAGACCAAGGCGGGAGTGGAGGAGGCGGGCTCCAAGATCAAAGAGGGGGTCCTCTATGTAGGTAAGGACATGTCAACGGATTGGGGGAGGGGGGGATCGAGAGGTGAAAGAATGGCACTGGTGTCAGTCAGGAGCGCAGGACAGTGATGTGGTCACTCCAGCAATAATTTTTCCATCAGGAAAACAGCACCCTCACCCCCACTCCCTTGAGTAGCCCCCATTCGCATCTTACTGGGTCTGGCATGTGGGTCTCCCGCAAGTGCGAGAAGTAGGACTGAGGAAGAAGGAAGCAGAACAATAAGAGGCAGCTACATTATGAGTCTGCATTCTCCCTCATGGAGACAGGGTCCGTCCTGCCTGCATCCCCTTCTAAGCCCTCTGCTCAGAGTCCTCTTCTGCAGCTCCCATGGGAATGCAACTCGCTCCAGAGGTGTAGAGAGAGATATAACCCTACAGAAACACAGACCTGCACATTCCAGTGTCCAGCTGGTTCTCTGTGTATCCCAACACTGGGACAGATTTAGCAGAATGCTACTGTGCAGTTAGTGCAAAAGATCATGACTTGGGGCTAAATTATCTCTGTCTTGTTAAGTCAAAGGTAATTATCTGCCCTTTGTCTGACGACTTGCTGGTGTTTCTGTAGGCGCATTAACTGGCAGATACCACAAACGCGCACTCAGATGTCATATCAGGCCAGTGATTATTCTTTACCACGTGATGGTGAATGAGGCCAGCAGCAGGAATATGAGATAATGATATAATTACAGTGCTGGAGCTGGCAGGTGTGGGATGATCATTATGGGCCTGTTAGTTACTGCAGATGGACATGGGTGTTTCCTGGGGCAGAAAAGGAGGCCCGTGTTACCCAGGCTGAGGTGGGGGTCCACCTCCCATACAGT